TTTTTAATTTCCAATTTGAATTTTATATTTGCATATAAAGTCTCTCTATAAACTCAAGTAGCCGGCATATAGACATACGAATTTGTGTGTTTTTCTTATTTTTATCGAAAAAACGTGAGATTTTAAACTTTGGACCCCAGAATTTATTTAGTTTGTTTTCTTTTTCATTTTACTCATATTTAATATAACCAGCTTTGTGGATGACTAAATTTTGATAGCCACCAGCCAGTCAACAGTTGTTTATTATGTCCACAATATTATTGTTATTATTTTTTTATTAGTATAATTTACAATAATAAAAGTGTTTTTGTCTAAGTATGCATTAGTGGACAAATATTTATTTAAAGTTGTGATTATTCGAATAATTGAATCATATGTTTTAACAGATTAATCTTTAATTGTAAAGAAAAAAATATAAATTGGTGAATAGTAAAATAAATTAAGGAATCTGTTTAAATTTTGGCCCAAAATAGTTATGTACATTCTTTAATTAAAAAGGATAAACTGAAATTATTAAATTCAACTTTAAAAATCTAAATTTAATCTTAATAACCGATTATTTCGCCCACCATTTGATAATTATAGAACGAATAATTGCCAACACTGAAAGTGATTATAAAATAATTTGGTTTATTATTGTGTATTTGTTTCTCAGACCTGTTGAGCTATATTTGATAAGAATGAAATTCAACAATAAAGAAAGCGTTTCAATATACAGACACGAAAGCCCAACGTGACTGTGAGTTGAAAGGATATACATTTGTATTAGAAAGATTGAGAGATGTCTGCAATTTCAAAATTTTATTTTTACAACTTTTGTGTTCGGTTAAAGGTTAGAATTATTTAATTAAATTTAAAATAATGATTGATGCATAAATACTTATAAATAGATTGTTGATTTTTTGTTTTTTTGCGAAATGAGAAATCTTGTTGTTTTGAATTTGAAGACAATAACAATTTAATAAAATTTCAGTTTTTCTCTGATTGAATGATGAAATGGAACTTTTTCAATAAAAAAAAATTTCGGTGAAAATAGATTTTTTCGTTGAAAGAACTACATATTTTTGGTAAATAGCCTTTAATAAGCTTTCGGAGAGTATCTTCTATCTGAGGATGACAAGAATGATTATCTCTCAAGTTTTAATATCGAAGTTAACACAAAACTATTTGCATTGAATTTCCGCTGATTTACCTTTAAATCTTTTTATCTCTCCCCGAAATAAAATACTTTTAAGAACTTTGAATCCACTTTGAAAGTCCAAACAATTAAAATATACATAATTTCTAATTAAAACTTTGCAGGTGTTTCCGATAGTCAAATATAATGAAATTCCATTATAAACATTAATAAATTTATTAACAGCTTATCTACAATATACTATTTAAAAAAAGAAGATACGATTTGGAAAAAAAACCCTCAATGCCAAAGTACGTAAATGCAGACAGAGACTTGTGTAAATAAAATACACCTATAAAAACCTTAAACTTGACAGATAGTGTAATGAAATACAAAATATAAAAGAAAGAAATAAGTGTAAATAAATTAAACTTTTATTTATGTTTATTTATTATTTATTTATTTGTTTATATTTATAGTAGCGGGAAACGCAATCGAACTTTAATCAATTACCACCCGAACAAAATAATGGAGCAGATTAGTAGGGTAAATACAAAAGTAGTGAAGTATGGGTTTTAACGATAATAACACATTAAATTCTAGAGGAACTTAGCTTTTAGATTAGATTTTATATTGAAGATATTTCACAACTTGTTGAACATATTCAAATAATTTCCATAAATAGTACTTAAAATAAATTTTAATTGAAAACAACTTATCTAATGAAATTTCCTGCGTGTAGGCAAATTTAATATAGTTTTTTAAAAATGATTGCATGTATTTTAATGTCTGTTGTTCAAATTTTTGGAAATATACTAACGTCTTGGCAAGTGCTAAACCAAATGTCTGAAGTTTAACCATTGATAAGAAATAATTATTAAATATAGTAGCATTTTTATAGCTTTTTAGTTTTGCAAATGCGTTGTAGCGGTGAAAATAATCGAATTTTATAGCAGATTTACCAAGTTAATAATTATTTCCTAATCATTTTCATTTAATAAAACAGATTAAAAAACAAAATATTAATAACAACAACGGATATTGAGCATTTTTGCTGATAAAAATTAATGTAAACTAAAATATTAATTAATTGAAAAAAAAAAAAATTATTTTATTTCAACTGAAAACCCAATTTTTACGTTAATATGTATTTAGAGTGTTTCTTCCTATTTTGTTTTAAGACGAATATTAAGTTTGTGGATTCCGTTTTTAGTTTCCTTCACGTTAATGTAGATAATAATGATTAATGATTATGTAATGCGAGAGTTAATTTTCACAGTGATTATTTTTGAATTACTGCATATGTATGCATGTATATGTTCTAGATCCAAATAGATAGAGGGATTTAATGACGTCCGTTTTTGCGCCATATCAGGTCTATAATTTTATGTAAATACAAAAATAGAAAGTAACACAAAACACGCAAAACTAAAATCAAAACAAATATAAGAAAATAATAGAAAACATTTAAGAACGTTTAATTTGATAGTTGTAATAAAAGTTCTTACATTATCGACCAAATAATACCGTTACATATACACATTATGGGCCTTTTCGATAATAGTTTCCTGCCTCAAATAATTCTATTACCAATATTGATAAAAGTTTCTAGTCAATATTTTATAAGATTTTTGATGACATTTAACTCTCTTATGATTCTTAAATATAGTCATTATACACTCACATCTTTTCGTTACCCTATCCGCGACTATTTTTAAACAATCTTCATAACAGTTTCGACTCATATTTGCGTCGTAGCCTTTAATTAACTCAAAGTTTGACTATGAACTTTCCAAGTCAGACGAAAGGTCCTCTTTACACACAGTATATTTAACCCTTTTCAACCTTAAGTTATTGTAGGGTATTAATATATTAAAACTAATTGCAAAATTTCCTATTCTATTTTTTATACGTAAAAACCAATATTATGAAATTCATAACGTTTAATTTTAAGAAAATCATACGACTCTATCTATACCTTCTATTAAGATTCTTAGCATCAACAAAGAATGAGATCTTTACTTTAAAATACTCAAAATGTTTTTCAGAAAAATTACTTGTAACATCCCATAGTTGTCCAATTAAATCACATGCAAAATTAACATAATTAAATATAATATTCTGTCCTTTAGTTTCAACAGACATTCTGAGGGATCTAACTAAACGATCAATGAAAATACACATTAAATATTTATTATTTTGAAAACCCTATTCTGTTTTTTTTACTTAGTTTTTGAAAAGCAATATTAATTCATTCTTTAAACCCTTTGACGACAGCATAAACGTTTTTTTAGCGTATGATTCCAGGTTAAAATATAAATTATGGATTAAAGGCTAAACATTTATTTAAATCGCAAAATTTGAACTAAAAAAAGAATGAAGAAAACAGACAAAAGAATGTAAAAGAATTCATACATAAATAGAAAAAATATCTCGACATTATTTTAGACTGAGATTTCAATTCCAAGATAATCTACTTTCCTTAAATAGCAATAAATTATATTAATTTTTTTTTTCCAAATTTTTGAGAATTTTTGATTTTTTAAACAATTCTGGAAATTAAGGTTAAAATATTAAAGCTCCTAGAGTTCCAAATTATTGGACATTTACCATATCGATCAAAACTTTAGTTATGTCAGCTAAAATAAGTGTTTATTTCAATATTCATGTGTTTGAATTCTGGGGCCGAAACACTGCTAAAATGTATGATTATTTTGTTAATAGTGGTGCCCGGTCCGCAGACCCTTGATCTACATAACTCTCAAAATTTAAAATAATCGTTTCGGCGGTTTAAGTATAATTAACTCAAAATTTAATACTGCGACGCCATCTAACGGATAGTTTTAAATCTTATCAGGAGTCCTCACGTCCTCCTGAATACATATTAGAAATTTTGCTCCATTCGGAGGTGCAGTAGTTCTTAAGTTTATCGATTATGAACAAACATTACATTTATTTATAGAGATTACATTTATTTATAAAGATTTCCGCCATTACGATTCGGTATAACATCTCTTATACGACAACCCTACTCTTCAAGAGCTCATGCTAAAATATCTTGATACAAACCTCTTTAGTGATCTGGAGTCCAGATTCTGGACTGTATTAAGAATATGTCTTTAACGAATCTAATCAATTTTATAGAAGTACCGAAATGTTTCCATCTCTTTCTAACATGACCGCCCAAATTAGAGAGTAATTTAAGAGCATCACAATTAACCAAGTGGCGACAAAAGTTCGTGAGCTTTCCATATATTTTAACCTATTTGATCACGAATGTGTCAATACGGCCTCAATATATAATATATATTTTCAATGCAAAGCTCATTCGCTCACGAATTCGCCAGTTCGATTTTTAAAACTAAATACCCGTCCTTTAGTTATCTGGACTATATTAAGAGTTTGTCTTTGGCGAATCTAATCAATTTCTCTCTCTAACAAGACCGCTCAAGTTAGAGAGTAATTTAAAAGTAGCACAAGTGGCGTCTGTAAGTTCTCGAAAAATTCGCGAGCTTTCCATATATCGCAACCCATTCCATCACGAATATGTCAATACGGCGTCATTATTTTTATGTTGATTTTGCTGCCAATATACATATATATTTTCATGCAAAGCTTATTCGCTCACGAATTCGTCAGTTCGATCTTTAAAACTAAATACAGCAATCCTTAAAAAAAAAAAAATACACCCATTTAAACTACATCAGAGATAGTAATTGGTACTAATAAAAAATTTGCAATTGATTAGGTTAGAAAAAAACTTGGATTACCGACACGGCGGCGATTAAACGATTTGCATAAGAATTACGATGGCAGACGGAGTACACGATCATAAACGGAGTACACGATCATAAACGATCGATAATTTCACAAATACAAGAACCATTCAACAATAGTAATAATAATAAACGCTGGTTTTAGCAAAAAAATTTCATTCAAGAAGCCTTTAAATACCGGATACTTAAATTATATTCAAGAAGTTTATATTTTGACGGCAACGTGTTGACATCTAAATAACGCGATACACAGAGAGTAAAAAATCGTTAGAGAGTGAGAATTTCGAAAAAATCAAAGTATCTATACAGTACTTTATTATTAAACTAAACAAAAAGAAATGTGAGTGTGTTTTTTTAGCAACAAAAAAGAAAAGAGAGTATACATATTTAGCTTAATGTTCGCACATTTTATTAAGTATTTTCTATGTGTTGTAGTTTTTGTTATGTTGGTAAATCAAATTTATAACAAAAAAGTATACGAATAACAACAATAAAGGAAAAATACTAAAAAGAAAATACATACATATATTTTTGTTAATGTACTCTCGTACGTATTCGTAACCAACTGCCTGCCTGCCTGCCACATTGAAATGTTCAGATACAAAAGTTTAGTTGTTTTTATCTAGTGAAACGTTTTAGTTTAGAGTGTGATCATAGTAGAAGACACCACGTAGAAAATAATAAAGTAATAACCAACAACCACAAGAACAAAAGAAATCTATTGTATGAAAAAATCGTATGTGCATTTAAATAGAGATACATATTTTTTTAACATTATTTGCCAAAAAAAATAAATAAACTAATTGCGAAAAAGAAATCATTTAAAAAGACAGTTCAATAATAAAAATTAAATATACTTTTAACAATGAGAATTTTAATGTCAAAATTAACTTTATACTTAAATTAAATTTTAAAACCACAAAACCAAAAAAAAGCTTTGGTTTATTCCATTACTTGATAAAGAAAAAGTGAAAAAATATATAAAATTACGAAAACCCCCACAACTACACAACAAGTACACGTCATAATATTTTTACAAAACTTTCTTTAAAATGACATGTTTTTTTGCTTAAATTTATTAAAGTTTTATTAAGGACATAATAAAAAGGAATTTTTATGTTAATATCTTATAGAAATTCATAGTTTTCTATTTGAACCCTTAAAAATTAGCATGACGTAACAATACATTCTATTTTATATAGTTCGTTTAACTTATATGTATTCTTCTTTTTTTGGCCATTAAAACTGTACAACTGCGATTATTTAATATGTCAGTGTCACTTTTTGACATTTCTGCAATCCTTGTTTATTTTAAAAATTAAAAAATATTAAATAAAATTAATATTTATTTAAAAAACGTGTCTCTTTAAAGAGTCTTTCTTTTAAGTAAACATTTTTATGTATATAGTATCGTATGTTTTTTTTTCTTTCTTGAGTAACCAACTAGAATAAGAATAAAGCCGGCGAAATTTGCTAGTGATTGAAACCAGTTTTTTTCTAACGCCTTCTGTTTTTATAGTAAATGTATTCAAGTTGGACTTTTTCAAGCCAATTCTAATACAATGAATAATAGAGTGAAAATAACACAAATATGTATGTATATATGTTACTCGATAAACCATTTAACAGATGAAAGTTTTAAACTTAAATTGCGTGTTTAACAAAACACGCTTTACAAATATTTTTAAATCTCAAAAAAAAAAAAAAGATAAAATGTAATTTAATAATAAGATTTTTACATGACAATTTTTTTAACTTTAATCTGTATTAAAATATTGTTAAGCTTAAACGATAAAGATCAGACTAATTTCGTAATACCAGTTAAGCAAAATAACTCTCATTATAAAATATTTTTTAAATTATCTGCAATTACTGTACTATATTTCGTTTTATTGATTTAATGATATTTCCAAATTTTTTGTTTGGAATTTAAGTATTTTCGAAATTATATTCGAATTTTCAAACTTTTTAAAAAATATATAATTTTGAAAATATATTAATTTCAAATGTTTTTAAGTCAACGCAATTGTAAATCAAAATTTAATAATTATTTTAATTTTATAAAAAAAACATTTTTTATTAAAAAAAAAAAATTTAATTTAATTTTCAAAATTTCGAAATTATGTTCGAATATTAAAACTTCTTTAAAACTGTTTTCCAATTTGTAATGTTGGAATAGGCATTCCAAATGTATTTTTAAAAGATAACTTTAAAAATCTATTTTAATTTAAATTTTTTGAAATTATATTCGAATTTTCAAACTTGTTAAAAACTATAATTTTCAGAATATATTAATTTGTAATGTTGGTTAAGTCAATCCAATTGTTAATCGCAATTAAATAATTTTAATTTTATAAAAAAAAAATTTATTAAAAAAATTTAAGTTTTTAATTTTCGAAAATTTTGAAATTATGTTCGAATATTAAAACTTCTCAAAAACTGTTTTTCAATTTGTAATGTTGGAAAAGGCATTCCAAAATTATTTTTAAAAAATAAATGTCGAAATCTATATTAATTTGAACTTTTCGAAATTATATTCGAATTCCCAAACTTTTTTAAAACTGTATGATTATCGAAATATGTATATTAATTTGATTTGATATTGTTGATATATTGTTGTAAATCAAAATTAAATAACCATTTTGATTTTATTAAAAAAAAAAAAATTTTTTAACTTTCGAAATAATGTTCGAATTTCTCAAAAATGGTTTTTCTAATACGTACCTTTGGAGAACGTATTCCAAATGTATGTATTTTTAAGAAATAAAATAAAATTTTCGAAAATTTCCAACTTCTTAAAAAGTTAAAAAATTTAAATATAGAAAAATATCTGGCAACGTCAATATGTGCGGTTGAGAAAAATTCGCGGTCGTGAAGCAAAAGCAAAAAAATCTTTGAAAATATTAAATAATTTGAATTATAAAATATGATCTATGTAAAAAAGTGATTAATATTTAATTCTGAGCTTATTGAATATAAATATAAGTGTGTTTTGATAATAATCCCGAAAAACTTTAACAAAATAAATTTGACTGGAATATCTCACATTGACTTGGTGTTAAGACAAGCTAAAAAAAAAAAAAAAAAAAAAAAACATACATGATATTTTAACTACTTTAAACTACTTTAACTACTTTAAATATTACTTTTCTCATATTAATGCATATTACAATCCGCAAAAGTGAAATAAATATAAATAAATTAAAATTCAACACAACATTTAATTGACACTAAAAATTAAAACAGAATAAATCTACATGTGTTTCCATTTATGTATATGCATATACATGATATCAATAAACATGATATCAATATAACGTTTGATTTAAACACATACATATGAAGGATAAAATAAATGCAAAAAAAAAAATTACGGAGAGTAAAAGATTTTAAAAGTAACATTTAGTGGGAAGAATATTGTGGATAAAAGGAATTTGAAGAAAGAAATATTTAGTGTTGTCATCTTGATGAATAAAAAAATAAAACAAGATAAATCAAATATACAATCATTTACGCACACAAATACATTAATTACCAATATTTTTGGTGGATAGTTTACTATTAATATGTGTAAAAGTTAGAATTAAACAAGTTTCAACCCAACATCTAATTAATTTTACAAAATACAAATAAATATTTTAATTGCTTTAAAAATTATTTTTCTCATATTAATGCATATTACAATCTATATAAGTGAAATAAATATAAATAAATCAAAATTCAACACAACATTTAATGGACACCAAAAACTACAATAGAATAAATCTACATTTGTTTCCATATATGTATATACATATACATGATATCAATATAACGTTTGATTTAAACACATACATATGAAGGACAGAATAAATGTAAGAAATGATGGAGAGTAAAGATCTTAAAAGTAACATTTAGTGGGAAGAATGTTGTGGATAAAAGGAATTTGAAAGATTCATATAAGAAATATTTAGTGTTGTCAACTTCATGGATAAAAAAATAAAACAAAATAAATAAACAATACAATAATTTACGCACACAAATACATTAATTAATAATATTTTTGGTGAAAAGAAAATAATACTGCATTTTACTATTAATATGTGTAAAAGTTAAAATTAAACTAGTTTCAACCCAACATCTAATTAATAATAAAAAAAAAAAAAAAAAAAATAAATAAAAAAAAAAAAAAAACAAATCTACATTTATTCACACATACTCTAATAAATAAATAATATAAATTAATACATTCTCATAATGTCACCAAAGAATCCTGTCCAGTGTCCTATTTGCCACACGAATATAACAAAAACTAATCCTAGTATTGGATGTGGAAGTTGTGGTCTTTACTTTCATAACAAGTGTGCTGGTGTCACTGAACAATTATTAAATGCCGTTCGTAAAAATATTTCTAAATTTTTGTGTAATGATTGTAAAAAAGGCATTGGAGTTGGTGAAAATACTAACAATGACATTATCAAACGAATGGAAGAAATTAAAATTTCAATAGAAAATAAAATTGAGGATACCAAAGTAAATATTGAGCATCGAATGGATAACGGATTTTTAAACCTAGAAACTAAAGTAGTCCAGATGGTTAATGATTTTCGTAAAGAAGTCAATACTGAAATTGCTAATATTAAATCGGATGTTGCTAATTGTTACTCTTGTGTCAAAAATACAGATAAAGCGTATGAGAACAAATATCATCAACTTCAATACAAGAACAATATGTTGGAAAGACGCTTAAATCGATCGGATATTTTGATAAGTGGATTAAATTGTACCATCGAAAAGATACGTGAAAACACAATTAAAATAGCCAAATTTGTTGGAGTGGATATTAGCCTCTCAGATATTAATCATTGCTGTTACATAAAACATAGAAAATACTTTATAGTAAAATTGAATTCCGTGCAATTACGTGACACCATCATGAAAAATTACCACAAATCAGAACCGTTATTGCTAAATAAAATCATAGGTGGAACCATTGAATCCAGAATTTATCTGAACGACAATTTGTCCCCATCGTCTGGCAAACTAAATTATCTTTGTCGCAAACTTTTGTCTGAGAAGAAAATAAAAAAATTTTATCTATTAAATATGGACAACCCTAAAGCCAAAATTCTTATGCTGGACGGAAAAAATATTTTGTTGGATAGCCAGCAGTGTGCAAACCTATTGGATGGCTGTTTGAATCTTCCTGAAGATGATAATAATTAGTAATAAGTGTAATTTAATAATATAAAATAAATTGTATTTGTTATAAATTATTGTTATCATCAGGTAATTATTATTATATTGATATTATAGTTATTGTATTGCAATTATTATATTATTTTAAAATGAAAATTATAC